TAAAAAAAACACAAAAGTGCTTCATAAATCGGCCTCACTGGAAACTAAAGAAGAGTTGTCTTGAGGTTTCGATTTGTTTTGATTAAAGAAATCGTACCATTTTGCGAATGATGAATATTTACTGAATTTTTATCTATCAAGGTATGGAAATATGCTCTATGCGATTTCATTTAACTTTATGAAGAAATGTGTCCTGCTAAAATCCCACATCCTTCCTATTTCGTGGATTTTGAACGTGCCATTTTGTCCCATGGAACAACTTGCGTGATGTATGCATTCAGTGCTAATAAATCAAATGAGGTGGGACGACTCGATTTGAGAACAATAAACCCTTCCCCTTTGTCTCAGCAGTTTTTCCTTCTTCATCTTTTAATTTGTGTCCTCATCTGAAAGTTCTGATGTTGGTGCTTTTCTAAGCGTCATTAAATTAGCGAAGCATTTTCAATCCTTATTTTATTTTAGCATAGGCTTGTTCACAATTTTTATAATTATCCTCTTTTTTACCATAAACTATCTTTCTAATATAACCGTTTTTATTGGATTTCTTATTGCTCGTTTTGATTTAATCGGGATCATATGTACATGTGCATTTGAATTCCTGGTCAGTTTCAGATCCTTTTTTCTTTATAATAAACTTCCTTATTACTACTGGAACCAGTCAAATGTTTAATTTCATCTGTGACCATTATCTGATTTATCTTGTTGGCATACATTATACTAAACAACTATATAAAAGTATGGAAGTTGTTTGATCTTGTTTTCACAACTTGGTCATATTGGCCGGAGTCCATTGAATGCATGATAATTTTCAAAGTCGTATCGTGTATGTGATACATTCTCAGACGTTTCGCCGGCATCGTCAGTGAGTCTTGCCATTCTTAGCACCATACCACAAATCATCAAAGAGACAAGTGAAACCGATCCTTTGACTAATGGTGTGATAAACACTTGTCTCTAACGAATTTTAGTATAGTGCTAAGAAGGGCAAGAATGTACCACGTCCACGGTTCGACTTTGGAAATGATCGTGCATACAATAGACTCTTAAATTGGATTTGGCACATTGATGAGCGATTCACTGGCATCAAGCTGCAATTCGAGTCTCAGACTTCCGGAAATGCAACAGATCTTTCATTAAAGAGGACTCAACACAAAAAACTTTGTCGACGTGTCTATGACAACACGAATAAATTGTAAAAACTAACTCAGACCATTTGTAATTAGGGTAATGCAACTCGGACTAAAATAAAAAACATATTATTATTTTGACCTTGTTTTCGCAACATGGTCATATTGGTAAGAAGACTTAGAGTTGTTTGTATGGTGCTAAGAATGGCGATTCTCGCTGACGATGCTGGCGAAAGGTTTGGGAATGTACCACGTCCACAGTCCGACTTTGGAAATGATTATACATACAATAGACTCAGAACAAGGTGCGTTCCTTTAAGTCTTCCTACCAACATGACCGAGTTGCGAAAGCAAGGTCAAACAACTTCCATACAACGAAAGGAGACTGCGATCACACAAAAGGCCATACCATCTTGGTCTTCATACCTTCGATAAAACACAGTTTAATCGGAGATATGAAGACCAAGATGGTGTGATCTAAGTCTTTCTACCAACATGACCGAGTTGCGAAAACAAGATCCAACAACTTCTGAACAACGAAGGAGACTGCGTCCACACAAAAGGCCACACCATCTTGGTCTTTATATCTTCGTATCTAAAAGTATTTTTAGATTTTCGTTGCCAGAAAATTAAAGATTTTTTCTGTGGCAAGGGGGAAGCATTATCGATATATTTGATAGTTTTTAAAGCGCCTTTTAAACCCTGGGATTGGTTTATGGGACTTTTTGATTTTTGTTATGTGTTTCAAAAACAATCTGGTGCGAGTGTTGACAAGTTAGTAAGGTTACTCACATTATTATGCTATCCAATAAATTATAGCACGAGCGTTAAGGTTTCTTATTAAAGATTTAAAAATTAATACCTGCTGGCATAAATCACAAGAACGTTATTACCAATGTCCGGCTCGTATAAATTTAGGAAATGTATGCTTGGGCTCTGTTCTCTTTGTATTTTTGCGTGCTTTTTATGAATAAAGAGCACGCAATTCACTCTATAAACGCCATTTTTATTTGATCGTCTTGGTTTACGTATAGCCTCTGATAATAAAATTCATCTTGGTATTTGCATTTATTAATAATTGCAACATATCAACCATGGTGCTTTGATGTCATTAATATATTTGGGATATTTACATGATATTATCATCACGGTAACTTTACTCATTGCGTTTTCTCTTATGATTTTCAATCATTAGGTAAATGTAAATCCAGACATGGCCATCTTTATCACTATGAATCCGGGCTACGCTGGTCGATCTAATCTACCAGATAATCTTAAAAAGTTATTCCGCTCACTCGCGATGACACAACCAGATCGGCAACTCATCGCTCAGGTGATGCTTTACTCTCAGGTAAGTATATTCAACCACTCCACATTCCCTTTAATTCTCGTTCGTTGACATTGTTAGACCGAATCCTCCTCTTTTCGATTTTGGGGTGTAAAAGCTAAGTTGTCTAACATTCCAATAATTCTGGGAGCACTAATGGGTACGATCTAGGAATTTTTTGAAACAAATTTTCAACCGAATTACCTTTGTTTATTCACTTCACTTGTTTGCCTTGATTTTATGCAACGTTTTTATACCTAGTTACTTTCAGTACCAATTTATTTATGACAACTTTCAATATTTTCATACAACTTTGCAGATACAGTAGGTTTGATTCATCATTTTCATCTTGTGTCTTGATAAAATTATCAGACTGTTCTACTCTTGTTTTAGGGTTTCCGTACTGCGGAGAATCTTGCCAACAAGGTTGTTCCTTTCTTCAAACTCTGCGATGAACAACTTTCACCTCAGTCTCATTACGATTTTGGTCTTAGGGCACTAAAATCGGTACTTGTTTCAGCTGGGAACGTGAAGCGTGAACGAATCCGTTTGGTCAAAGATGAGATTGCTGCGAGGAACGAGAAGGTATTTTACTAGATTTATTCTCACTCCACTTGTAATCAATAACTTACGATAAATTAAACATTATTTTGGTCTTGTTTGATACTATTTATTGCCTGAACTTCAACGGTAACTATTCTAGCAATGCAGATTTATTTTACAGCAAATAGCCCTTTGATATGTTTTATCAATAAAGCATAGTAAATTCGTATTAACTTTAGCATTGCTGCCAGCACATTTTGTGTTGTCCACTACTCCGCTATTCTGACAAGATTATTTATCCAAAGCATCTTTTTGTCAAGGCTTATTCAAACTTCTCTATGATCAGATGATTGTCGATGCATATTCCTTTATTATAACTTATCATTGCTTTATTTGCTGGTTCTATTTCGTTGTGATGCTCTTTTTAATAGCTCCGCATTCAGACAAATAGAGTTTCTCGCGATCCTTGGAACATGACTTTGTCCAAATTAAAACTTGCTGACATGTGAAAAATAGGGGTAATGATATTTAAAGTTTTGCTTATTCCCTCATAGTATTGGTTTAAAGTGATATACCTTGAAGTGACTGGGTCATAATTACTATTTATTAATCTCAGATTGACGAAACAGCAATCGCCGAGCAGCTTCCTGAGCAAGAAATTCTTATTCAGTCCGTTATGAAGACCATGGTGCCCAAATTAGTTGCCGAGGATATTCCTCTACTCTACAGTCTTTTGGCAGATGTCTTCCCGGGAATAAAATATAGTCAATCGGCCATGAAGAGTCTTAGGCGTGAATTGCGCCGTGTAGCCGAAGAGCTCTTTTATGTTTTCGACGACGAGGGTCTCGATTCAGTTTCTCCAGTCGGCGCTGCCTCCTGCGACTTATCAGGCTCATCCAGTACCTCAAATACTCCCGGCCGTTTATGGGTAGAAAAGGTGCTTCAACTAGACCAAATCGTCTCTATCCATCATGGTTTGATGATGGTTGGACCTTCCGGCAGTGGAAAGTCTTCTGCTTGGCGAGTCCTTTTAAAAGCGCTTGAGCGTCTTGAGGGGATCGAGGGAGTGGCTCATGTTATCGATCCGAAATCAATCAGCAAAGACAATCTCTACGGCTACTTGGATCCAAATACGAGGGAGTGGACTGACGGTCTTTTCACACACATCCTTAGGAAGTAAGTTCTTATGTATATAGAGTTATGCTAATGCATTCAGCCGCGTGAAAATTTTCATTCGAAATTTATTATTGCATTCTGTTGCATAAGATATTCCATACTTGCGGATAGCCTAATTGTATATTTTTCAGTTATAACGTTGGATTAGTAAGTTATTAGCACTTGTTCATTGCCCTATTGTTAACGTTGCTTCCGTCGTACTTACAGTAATTATCTACACCAACTAAGCAAAAATGCTCAAATAAGGATGTTATGAAATTAATTTTATATGTGAAAATCATTGCATTTAGGTTTATTTTGACTTATACATTCTATGAGCTCTGTTCACTCTATTTCATTTAAGGTGATGAAGGACTGGTAGTTAAATTTCACCACAATGATATGAGTAGACATGACGTTTCCATTCAATTTTATATAGCCTTGTTTTCCCGAAAGGTATTCTCGTCCCGATACAAGTGGACTACAGTTTCGAAATCGCCTAGGTCCTTATCGGAATGAGAATACTTTATGGAAGTTTAAGGTTGTGAAATGTAATGCAAACGTCATGTCTACTCATTTCACTCTAGGAAGATTTAGCTACTAGCTCTTCGTTACATTGAACAAAATAGGCCGAACACAGCTTATATCTGATTCACTGTCAGTTTGAAAACCTAGCCAAAATTATAGATTCTAATTTTCAGTACTCCTTTATGGTTCCCAGGGATTGTTTTTACATATTCTTTCATCATCAAGTGTTAGCATACATGATGAATAGTCTTTGAGAATGAACATCTCAATTCCTGTATATTCCTGGATCACCTGATGGTTTTTTTATTTATACTTGCTGCACTTTTCATAGAGGCATGCAGCATCTGGCTGTGATAAGAGCCCTAGGTCGCATAAGGTGATGAAGGAATAGTAAT